TTCAAAAGCCGGCGTAGTTGAGCTCTCTGCACTACCGTAAGTGCAGGGTTCTCAGAGCACAGGGATTCCAACCACGCGGAATCCGGCTCCTCAGCATTACCGACATTTCCCACAACCAATCGAGCCGGCCCTGCATCATCAAGACAATGGGCTGCTGAAGCGTGTGCCAGAACCGTACCCGCCTGAATCACAACCGGCACGTGTCCCGCATTCAACACTTGCAGAAACGGTGTCTGCACGGCGGACGCAACCGTCACAGCCCCCACTAACGAATGTTAGATGGGGTAAACAGGATCCCCTCCGGCCCTGGAAAAGGCAACTCTCTGCGCAAACGCAGAGGCACGAGCATTTGAGAACCCACAGGTATTTTAACAGTTTAGCTAGTCATCGTGTGAACGACAGCGTTCTGCGACGGCTGTCGACCCGGGGAATGTAGGAACTGCAACCGCTGCCCCGACGGTAATTCAATGCATCCCTGGTCGATTAGGATTTTCAAGGGCATCCTGCTCAATTTGGTGCCCAACAAACAGGGCATGGCCAACGTTCGTGACACCAAAATTTGACCCTCCAAAAGGATCTCCCCGATTTGAACAGTGGCCGACATTTGCCCCAGATTACCCAGGCTTCCCCCGTTAGCCGCAACACAAGTGTTCTCCATGGGGGCAAGTGGATCAGATGACAAAGGCAACGTGTGGAACATGGCCTCGGAAACCATAGTCGCAACGGCTCCCGTGTCAACAACAACCAAACTTGAATCCCCTGAATCAGCCCCTCAATTGTTGAAGAACCAGCCGCGGTGGCCACAACACAATGAGCTAGCACGTCCCACTGATCGGCGCCGCGTGGCCAACACATGAACGAACGCGCACCCCGTTTACAACTCGCGACGGGATGAGATGTTACAGACTGATGCCGCACGCAACTTATACTAGATGGATGATGGGACAAGGACGGCCCTGTGTCTGATGCAACCGGACTCACCTGTACGTTGCGGGAAGAGGAGTCGTCGAAGCCGTAGGATGGATGCGGCGGGAACCCTCTGGCCCCGCGGGGGCAGTCGATAGCGATGTGTCCTGCACAGCCGCATTTGTAGCAGGTACGGTAGGGGCGACTGGTCGGTTGGCGTAGCCTGGGGCGCCATTTCCGCACTTGCTGGCGCTGTGCGGTACCCCTTTCCTCCAACCCACGGTCGAAGGAGGCACCCCCGAGCGCGTCCGCGTCCGGCCCCAATGTGCTGGCCGCCACCGCCGGCCGGTCATTTAGGTCGAGGTGTGTCTGGATGCCGCGGGCCACTTGCAGGGAGGTGATGTTATCGTCCTCCGTCACCGCGAGGGTGACCCCCAACTCCCGAGTCTTGGAGAGAAGTCGCTCCAAGGTGTCCAGCGCTTGGCTGTCCATTTTCAGAAAAGCCGTGTGCCCCAGAGTGAGGAGAGCACTGCGAAACGCCAATGGCGTCTCGTTTGCGCCCCGTCGTCGCAGGCGGAATCTTCGATGCACATTCCACGGGAGGTCGTTGATAGCGGCCATCTCGGTGTAGGTAAGTGTGTGAGGGTCACCCTATACGCCTCAGGGATGGCGAAGAAGGCGGCAAGCGAGTGGTCTTCGAGGGCCGTGGGAAGAGCTCCGGAGCACTTCGCCGGGCGTCCATCCCACCAAGATGTAGGCAGCCTTGAACCGACGATGGAAGGTTGTGCAATCGCCGTCCGCAGCTACGAACTGGCGCGCACTGGTGGCAGTTGTCGAAGCCTGGAGGCGTCCAGCTTGGGAGACGGCAGCTGCTGCTGTGGCGTGGGCCGCTCGTTCAAAATAGCGGACACGCGGAGCCCCGCTGCAGCCTCCAAAATGGCGGATGGGTCCGGCGCTCCCAACGCCTCGGGCCCAACAGCGGTGGAAAGCACGCGCTAGAGACTGGTGGTTGCCGCGGCCGTCATTCGCTCGAACAGTTTAGCGGCGGCCGACAACAGCCTCCCCAAATAACTGGCGATGTCCAGCCAGCTCTGCGGAGGAGGCGGCAGGGCTGGACTCACCACGGTCTCCTGCGCCGACTGCAGAACGTCGTCGGAGCAACCGCTTAAAGCCCCGGCAACTGGAGCCGTTGGAGGGACGACGTCCGGCTCCGCTTCATCATCTGACCACGCAGCAGGTGGGTTTCTTCGTTTCGATGCCGACTTGGACATGACGACACAGGTTCGTTGGCCCTTCTAACACCAAATGTAGTGTTGTGTAGAATCACTCAGTCGGACACGTTGTTCCAAGTCACCTGCTTACACTTTATTACTCTACTCTTGCACCAGTTGTAGGCATCCCTATCTCTGTCTATACGGTCACTTTGTTAACCAACTTCCCCTATCTACTTTACACCTCGCTGACCTGCCTGCGGCAGCTCTTCATCACAGCAGCTTCGCCCTCACAGCTCTGCACACAGACAGCAGCTCACACAGAGCTTGCACACAGTCGTGCTCACACAGAGCTTGCACACAGCAGCGCTCACACAGTGGCTTCGCTCACACAGAGGATTTGCTCACACAGAGCTTGCACACAGCTGCTCTCCTTCTGTGCCGCTGCCCTCACCTACGTTCCCTCAGACCCACTCACTCGTCCGATCTGGGCAGGAGGATCAACCATCACCCCCCCCTATCGACTTGTGAGGGTTGAGGTCCATCCTTGGCTTGAGCGGCAGCGGCGAGATGTCTTCACCTTGGTCCCAGAACCCGAACTCTCACTCCGCTCTCACACACCCCCTTATATCCTCCTCCCAATTATCCAGCTCCTCCCTTGTGTCTCTTTAGGGCCCGACAGGCCGGCGCCTGTCGGGCCATCAATCACTCCTTATCGCACGTCTCCAAGGCGACACTTCCAGTGCCAGCGTACGACCCCGGACCGACCCCGTCTGCAACCGAATCTCCTGCTAAAGAGGTGGCGGTTTGCACGTGCAACCTTACATTGCACACGCGCACCTGCCTGCCCTCGTTTGCCCTCGGGCAGCAGTGCACACCGCGTATTTTACCACACTACACAAACAAAGAGAAAGACAAAGATCCCCTGTATAGCCTGAACAGACTGTTGGGGCAAGTGCTATTAGCAAGCACATATGAAGGCCGGCACTGCACACGAGGGGGTGGGTGGCCAACACCACACCCGGCTGCCTTTGTCTCCCCAGGGGTTATGTTTACACACCGCAGCAGGTCTTCATTTGAGGCTGATGTTGGCCGTGAGTGGGAATTGAACTCGGGTCACCGGCTTCCTAGTGCAGCGTGCTGACCACTACACTACCGCTTCCCACTACATACGCACAATAATGGTATGAAATAAAGAGCTGCGGTTTACCAGTGGCACCGGCGTGGTGTGAAGGACAGAGGGGATAGGTTATGATGAGGTATTGCAAGAGACCCGGTGGCTGCTGAGGAGAAAGGTGCCGTTTGTTGCACTCTACATGCTTCCGCACACTTGGGATATTGAGAATAGGTTTTCCCCTTTTTTCTGGCAACAAAACAGGTGTTAAGATGTTACAACACCAAACTGAAACCTTTTACAAGGAATCATGTCTGCATTAACCACAATATTTGTGGTCAGAATGCAAAAAAAAAACACTGATAATATATGCATTATCTTTGAAACTGATTGGTCCACACCAGAGACAGCTTTCTTTGGAGCCTTGTCTCAAATGGTGTTAGACCAGAGGATGCCAAAAACATCTTAACACCTGTTTTGTTGCCAGAAAAAAGGGGAACACCTATTCTCATATTTTGGTACTGGTGTAATAAACCACTTGCGACGACAATATGGAACTTGTGTCTTTATTTATTCATTCCTTCACAGCTGGACAGCTCCGCACTCTTCACTCTGACACGGCTGCACTGCTGTTCCCGCGTGGTTAGATGTTGTCGTTCGCGCCAGCTAGCTCACACCCTCTCCCGCTCCCGCGCGCCGCTGACAGGTGGCTCGCAAGGAGGAAGCCTCCGGCCCGCCACGTGGCCGCTGGCGTTCCGGAGGCGCGAGACGTGGTCCCGCTCTCTGACTCCACACACTGACCACGAGCTCTTTCCCGCTTTCCCTTATATCCCCTGACCTATGTCACCAAGCCCCGCCTACAGCCACGCCCCCTCACTACCCTTCTAGATGGGTATTCCCCAGAGCCTTTAAGCTCCGCACTTAACTTCGGCTTATCCCTCTGATTGGTTGATGGCCCAGGCGGCGGAGCCTATCCCACTGATCGGTGATCGGCGGTGAACTCTCGTATTACACTGGCAAAGGAGGTCCCATGACTTGGGATATTGTATGCAGATCAGATCTGAGAGAGGAGGTTGTGATAGGAGAGACACGTGGTGCGAATGGTGGAGGAGGATGAGGATAAGGTAAGCAAACTTGGAGGTTGGGAATACAGGAGGAGGTTATGATGGGTGGGATACGTGTGCAGGGTGGAGGAGGGCAGGATACCAAGACGGGCATTGAAGTGGCAAAGGGCGGTGACCAACAAGATGAGATACCTGGAGCCAGATGCTGGGATGCTGTGGTAGGGGTCGTTATAAGGATGTGCTGAGTGTGTGGCCAGGGTAAGACCTGGAGCTAGATGCTGGGATCCTGTGAGGTGGGGCGGGGAGGTTGGGAGTCGACTGTTGCAGGACCTCACGGGAGGCGCAGTGGAGTGAGGATTGGAGTCATCGGTGGTAATGGCTGACATTGCCTGTTAACCTTATACGTCCCAAATTACCGGTTGCTATTTATAAAAATGTTGCGATGGCATTTACAAGCAACTGAACAGATTCATGAATATGAGATGGTAAAGGTTCCACTGACGCAAGAGAAATTTGTACGTTTAAATCTTAAGTTTGCTTAAAAAAGAATTTGCCTCTTGTACTCATATAAAAAACACATTAATCCATGAGAAAACGTAGGAAAATTTAATGTATCGTGTTTGTTCGGAACGTTTAACTGTGTCTTCCATTGGCGTGCGTTACTGAGCGGCAGTTGTTGTCCCGATGTTCTGCGTGACGCTGCAGTTCGGCAGGAACCTGACGGAGTACCAGACGAAAGCCAAGCAGCTCTTCCGCAAACTCAACGAGCAGTCCCCGTCGCGCTGCACGCTGGAGGCCGGACCCATGGTATTCCAGTGAGTACAGTCCAACTCCTCGTGTATTAGAGTGTGGTGGGGTTGGAGAGATGCACGAGCTATGAAGCTGATATTGTGCTCTTTGCTATTCAGTGGTGGTGATGTCACCACGGTGCTTGTGCCAGGTTAGAAATGAGGAGGGCTTGCTGGCAGAAGTTTATAGGAGAGATCCAAGTGTAATGGGTTGCCTGACTGAGATGACTGACATGCATTGCCACTCATTTGTTGTGAGCATAAGCTCCTCTGTCAACCGTTGTTGAAGGGCAACTGACCAGTAGCATCCTTCACGAACCTCCTCCACATAGGCTGACATTCACCTACCGCCAGCACCTCAAACAAGCCAAAAGGAGAAAAAAAACACGAGTCAACATTTTTCAAAAACATGCGGGAACAAGGTGGAGAAATTACACCAGAACGTTGAAGACATTGACGCAAAGCCCTCGTCCCACTCCGCAGTGGAGTAACTGTGTGCCCCAGCATGGGGTGTCAGCTCACTCACAATCCTCGGCGATGCCAAAATCAACGCCGCACTGTGTCATCAGCAGAACCACCCCTGAAGTCCACTCCACTTCCGTGGTTTCCTGTGTGCTGGCGCACATCGCCCCAGCTGAGATGCCGCGAAAATGCTGAAGTACCACAATATTATGGACAACGCTGGTCTGCCGCTCCATCAAGACCTAAACATTAAAACACGCGCCATCACCTGAAATCCAGGAAAACTTTCTGGATGCGCGTCTCCGGTTTAGCAGTCAAATTAAAACCTCGGCACTTGCTGGATGGAATTGTGGGTGGCTATGGATGTGGCAAACAATCATGAACCTCATTGAGGAGCCGACTGGAAGCATGGGGCTCCTCTCTTTCACGATGACCACGGATCTCGCGACACCGCGCTGGAATACAGCGTGGGAGATGCGCGACCACCTTCCACAAATAAACGATCACAGGATTGCCAAACTGCAACTGGTGAGGTCCAAACCATCAATCGCATCACTGATGAACACGCCATTGATGCACATCCTGGCAGTAATACTCCAATCCATACACCATCTAAAACCTTCTTGTATTTGTGAAGCAAACTTGGCATTCAATTATCATACGTAAAAAATTGTTGCTTTTCCTTCCTGCCATAAGAATGAAGAAGATAGGCCGATCTTGACACTGCTGGTACCAGTCATCAGCAAGTCCAATCAGCTCCATGTCTTTCTGTACTACATGATCCCATCTCTTCTCCAGCCCATGCAGCACCCATTTAGCCCCCTCTATTTGGCCAAACAGAAGCTGCTTGAGCATGCAAGCTATATGACCCAGCTAAAGCATTTTTGCCTGAAGGAGGAGCTCCACTGATGTGGAGCAATAGGCCAGGTTTCTTCCACACAGTGTTACACAGCTGAAGAAAAGATAATGCCGCTTGACTGATTCAGAATGAGACCTTAGCTGCCAAATTGGAGCTGGTCATAAGCAAGCTCCCCGGCTACAGAAACTTATCCACTCTTTCCACAACCACCCCACCACTCTTGGGGAGTTGAAGGGGTGGAGTATTTGATGATACACTCCAGGTTGAGCAGTAGAGTCTTCAATTCCTCAGATTGAGCAGCAATTGCCATATCAGCATACATAACATGGTTGACCAATACCGAGTCATTCCTTGACCGCACTTAGTCATTGATCAACCTCCCATTCCATTTGTACTAGATGGAAATTCTTCTGGTACAGCCATGGAAAGCTTATCTAACTACGTTGTCAAAGAAGATGTTAAATAGTGTGGGGGCCAGAGGACATCCTTGTCACACCCCAAGGTGAACAGGAATGAGTCTGACTCCTGGCGACGCAGATTTATTCCGGGCCTGCCCATCATCATAAAAGTCCTTAAAGATTGTGAGCAGAGAGTCAGGGACCCTAAAAGCATGAAGAGTAACCCAAAACCCTGGCCTATTGATGGTATCATAGGTCATGACCAGCTCAATAAAGCAGAGATGTAGTTCCTGTTTAAATTTGCTACACCTCTGCTGTGACAGACGGACAGAGGACATCGTATCTGTGAGTGAATCTCCCCTTTGTGAAACTACATTGAGGCCCTATAAGCCATCAGCATGCCTGGCAACTAGATGTTGAAGAATCCTTACCAGGACCTTTCCCGACATTGAGGAGGTAGATGCCCCCTGGTAGTTGTTTCAATCAGCGTTGTCCCCTTTCTTAAAGGCGGTACATAAATGCATCCTTCCAATCCTGCGGGACCCAGCCTGGAGACAAGACGGGAAATTTGTGAATGTGTGTCTGTTCGAAATGTTTAGCATACTTCCCGACATGCAACAAATTTTAAATTTGGCATGTGGGTGGGTAGCTTCGAAACTGTACAGATTGCAAAAGTATAAAAATAGATTTTTGTATTTTGGGGGGGGGGCGCAATAATGGATGTCACATCTGTGATGTCACCCGCATGCGGAAGCGTTACGCAGTGTGCCTGCTGAGGTCACGCACCCCCCCCCCCAACCCTCCACGTAGGCCGTGTATTAATCCAAGACAAGAATCCAAGTCTCGGGCGAAGTCGGGTACTAAAGCTAGTGATGTAATATAGGGCAGCCAGCACACAGATGCCACGCTCCCTCAATAGTTCGCTTGAGAGGTCATCTCTGCCTGGCATTTTACCTGGTCTCAGGCTCTAGTGCAGCAGAAGATGGGGCCGCAAGAAATTCAGGAGTAAAATACAGTACAAATCGTCTCATGCTCACAAATTAAAGTTTTGGTCATATAAAGCAAAATGACATCGTAGAGGGAGATGCCTCAGTCTGCTTTCGGTTGTTAGACCAAAACATCTCCACCCATCAGAAATCTGTAAAGTTATTTTATTCAGATCATACAGCTATCTGATTGGTGGAGATGATTGAGCTTTGAGAATTACAGTTTGTTCTGTCTTAGTGAGAAGCGCCTCCACGTGTGCACGTGCACCGTACGTATGTACAGGGAAAGGACAACGTATGAAACACAAATAACGAGCTTGTCGATTCTTCCATAATGGAGCGAAACTTGAAACTGTCCACCTCTAGGAGTGAATTCACCGACTCGTTGAAACGAGAAAATAAACTCAAAGAGACGTGTTTTGAAAATTCGACACGAGATATTTCTTGAAGTGTGGCTTCACAAGTCTGTTCGAGAAGAACTAAGAAAATCAAAAATGCCTTTTGTTTCGCTGTGCCGTCGAACGAGAGCGCGAAAACAAATAAAAGGGAAACGGCGCTTAGAAACTGAAGCCCAGATAGTTCTTTCAATGCAGAAAACGGGAGCTGTCGTGTCAGCCGGTGCCTTTTAAAATGGCGCCGGCTGTCTCTGAGCATCCTTCGAGGTGAGCTGCCCAGATTGCTCAGGCTAAGAAAGAAGCCACATACAATTGTGGAAAATATGGTTTTAACCACTGCAATTGATACTTTTAAAAGTACAGGGACTTGTCTATTTACGATCATTCGACTTACGAACTTTCAAAGATACGAACAAGCCTTTAATTCTAGATTTGAAGCTTTCGTGACTGCAAGGATTCATACTCTTAGTTCTTTCGGTAAAGTCACATAGGTAAAAAATGAAATTAAAATGAATAAAAATAAAAGAATAAAATCACAACGTTTTGGAGGCAACACAAGTCTCCGTCATCAGGTGGGACCGTCACAGCCAGATTTGCTGCATCAAGCCTGCTATGTATGGTAACGTGACAGTTTTGATCGGAGTTTCAAGTGGCCATAGGGGTACCCTCATTCTGTTTGTAGAAGGTGCCATTCCAGGTAAAATAAGTGTTGGTGAGGCAATGCCTAACCAGCGCAGGTACATCCGAATTCAATCCATGTTGGACCAAGTCCTCAATTATTGTTAGAGACTAACCAATTAGCCTTTATGGTCAAGGACATGGTACTATCTCCTGATGATATCCTCGTCAGTTTTGATGTCACGTTACCATACATAGCAGGCGTGACCAAAAAGATCTCCAAAATTCGAAACAAACATAAGATCCAAGTCCGATTCAGTACAGTACATAAAATCCATGATCTAATTCCATCTGTGAAGGATGTCATCCCTGACTTGCAATACCCTGGAGTCTATAAACTGAGTTGCAGCTGTGGTGACTGTTACATTGGGGAAACGAAACGTCATGTCTCTGATCGTGTCCGCGAGCACAAGTCAGATTTGAAACACGGCAAAATTGAGTCTTCCGCCGTTGCCGATCATTGCTACAACGTGGTGGGCCCTCATGATATTGTTTTTTCCGAGACTAAGGTGCTCTGCAAACCCTCTGGCTACCATCAAAGGTTTGTACACGAATCCATTCAGATATACAAACACAGACATAATTTCAACCGTGATGATGGGTACAAACTTAGTAATCATTGGAAAGATGTTATCAACCATGCAAAAAAGATTTAACTACACATTTTTGGACCATCTTATCTGACAGGCGCTATTTTACTTTATCGAGTGTTAACATCCCTAGCGTTTAACAGTACTCTCTTTATTGTCAGCCAACACTGGTATAAACATGGGCATTTTCGTTTCTTTTCTATCATGTGCATCCACAGTGACTTGCGCACAAACACGTCCACGCCCACGCCCACGAGTAACCCGTGCCCTCTTTTAGCCCCGCCCCCCCCCCTCCCGATACGTTCCATTCATTGGCTACCACATTCTGATAAGCTCCTCCCCCCCTCTCCTCCCCCCTTAACTGGTATTTAAGAGCTTGCATCTTGAATCCCTCCCTCACTTGATGCAGCAAATCTGGCTGTGACGGTCCCACCTGATGACGGAGACTTGTGTTGCCTCCGAAACATCGTGATTTTATTGTTTTATTTTTATTAATTTTAATTTCATTTTTTACCTACGTGACTTTACCGAAAGAACTAAGAGTACGAACAAGCCTGTCCGTATGTCCAGTTGCCTGTTTGGACCAAGAGTTGTAAGTTCAACCGCAGGGCAATAGATGGCAGGTGGTGGTATCTACATCTGCAGAACATGAAGAACTAGTGGCATCTATATCTATAGGAGATTATACAACTTTTAAAGCCATTCCTCATGTTTTGTACATGCCGTATAAAATGTTTGGAATCAACAAGAGTAAAGTTGGACTCATGACCAAATCGACTTAAGAACAGACCTCTGGAATCTAACTGATTCGTAAATGTTTGGAATCAACAAGAGTAAAGTTGGACTTATGACCAAATCGACTTAAGAACAGACCTCTGGAATCTAACTGATTCGTAAGTAGAGGAGTCCCTGTAATGGGTGGGCAAGTGGAGGTAAATAAACTGAAATATATGCCGCCGTCAAAACAACGCCGTAAAACTGAAGAATGGAATCTATAGCAGGCGATCAGGAATAAACACAAAGTTGAATGCCTGAAATTCACTGTTGTTTACGCTCTTCAAACTGATGTGAGCACCGACGGCTGTGGTGCACGCACATCGGGTTTTGCGCGCTACATTTCAGATGATTCTATACTTGAGGACATTCTGTTCTCTGACACTTCCCTGCACACGAAAGCGCTCAGGGGAGTGTTCTGTGTGCTGTTGGCTAAATAGAGGGGGAAAATATGCCTTGGGATTGCATGGTGGGCTTGTGTACAGGACTTGTGGGCATCTCAGTGAACAGTATTGCTCGGTTCGCTGTTTTGATGCACTGCATGGTTCATCGAAAACAACTGGGAGCGAAAGAACTGAGCGGAGAACTTGGTGAGGTAATGCAGCAATTCACATCAATTCTGAACTACTGTGAACCTCATCCATTCTGTGGGCGTCTGCGTGCAAAATTTTGTGAAGACATGGGGTCTCTCGATCATCGTGATGTTCATGGCTTTGTTGTTTCACACCGAGGCTCGCTGGTTGTCGACAGGAAGGGTGTTGTAGAGATTGCTTGAATTGCAGAATGAGTTGCTCGCATTGGCGATGGATGTCATTGGTCAGCAGAAGATTTGTCTCCTTGCTTATCTAACTCAAATATTTCGGAAACTTAAACGAACTGAATGCCAGTATGAGTGATCGAATCGCAGCATTCATTAAAAAAAGACCTCTGTGGAAGATGAGTCTGTCGAAGTTGAGCTGCTGGCTCCTACAATCAACTTTCAAAATGTATCTTTGACAACGAAATTGACCCGTGCCTCACTCGGGTGAAGACTGACAACCTCAGCACACTTCGCAACCAATTTCCCTGATCTGGACGTGAAATATTGTGACTGGGTACAAAATCCATTTCAATGCCAGCCTAAAACAATGCATCTGACCGCAGCTGAAATCGAACAGATCATTGAAATGTCACGTGATTGGCTTTGGCACGGAACATATTCGCGAGCTCCTCTTCCAGGATTGTAGTTGACGGTGAAGAAAGAACCTCCTCAACGCGTGCCTTGAAACCGATGGTGCCCTTTGCAAGCACGTACTGTACACGTGAGTGAAGCCGGATTGAGCGCACTTGTTTGCATCGAATCTTAATATCACAGCTGAGGTAGGATGTGTAATATCAACCATACCACAATATTTTTTAGAAGCTGTGTCGCATGCCTCATTTGTTCTTCAGCACCAAAACTTAACACCGTGCAACATTACATTACTTACTTGGCATTATTTTAAATTCCGGTCGTTGTTGGGGGTCGTAAAAAAATGATTGACATTAATTGGGGGGCTGTTGGAGAACAGTTTTGGAAGCGCTGCTCTGGTGCCTTTGGTATTTGCGCCACTCTTAGCTCAAGGCTCTCCGTGCAGGAAGGCGCTGCTGCGTTTTATAGTGAATTTGCAGACATTTTTCACAAGGGGGCGATGTTGCTACACTGCGATGCTTGTTTACCCAGGTAGCAGAGCTGCATGTCAAATATCTTGAAGGAGGCTCCTTACAAATTTGTTTTGCAGCAGAGGGTTATGTTGCTTTCTTAAATGAGTAATTTTGCAACATTGGGATGTATTGGCAGTACCAGTTACATTGTGTGTGTGTTTTTTTTAGCAATAGGAGGAAACCAGAGAACCCAGAGGAAACCCATGCAGAACAGGGAGAGAACAAATTATTCAAACTCATTGAAACTCACTCATAGTTACTCTCTCACACACACAAGCATGCTTACACTTCTCACACACATACACAAAGACAAATATCCCCCGTATAGCCTTAACAGACTGTTGGGGAAAGTGCTCTTAGCGAGCACCTATGAAGGCCTGCACGACACACGAGGGGGTGGGTGGCCAGCACCACGCCCGGCCGCCTTTGTCTCCCTAATGGCGATGTTTACACAACGCACCAGGTGCTCATTTTAGGCTGAGTCGGCCTAGGGGAGGCCCAGGACTGGTTTTAGATAATCGTATCTGGTATTGGCGGTGAGCCGGAATCAAATTTGGGTCGCCGGGTTTGTAGCGCAGCGTGCTAACCGCTACACTTATGCTCCCCGCACGCAGACACACACAAACACTTTCTCTCACACACTCTCACTCTGCAGAAAGGGGGATAAAATACAAATCCACGCAGAAAGGCGTCCCAGGATTGGGAGTCGAACCCGGCGACTTGTTGTTGCTGGAGGCCCGTGTGGACGCTGTGTTTCCAGCTACCTGATCGAGAAGGGCGTGTGTTACCTGGTGCTGTGCGAGGCGGCCTTTCCGAAGAAGCTGGCCTTCTCCTACCTGGACGACCTGCACACCGAGTTCCACGAGCTCTACCACAAGAAGGTGGCCACCGTGTCGCGGCCCTACTCCTTCATCGAGTTTGGTGAGCGCCGCTCGCGGTCGCCGCCGCCGTAGACTCCTGTCACTTGCAGGCTGCGTGACTCGCGCCGCAACGTGTCGCAAAGACAATTATCCCCCTTGTAGCCTATGACAGGCTGTTGAGGCAAGTGCTGTTCGTGAGCACCTGCGAAGGTCGGCACAGCACACGAGGGGGTACTGTGGCCAACATCACACCAGGCTGCCTTTGTTTCCCCAGAGCTAATGTTTTTCACACCGCACCAGGTACTCCGTTAAAGCTGAGTTGACCTAGGTTTCATGTTCGCCACTGTTATTGGTCACGAGCCGGAATTGAACTCGGGTAGTGGGGTTCGTAGCACGGTGCGCTCAGCAGTGCTCCACCGCTCCCATCACACACACCATAGCATCACAACCAGCGTCCTCAAGGAGAATATAAATACAATAGAGGTACCACAACCACTAAGCAAGCAATCCGCTCCTTCACACGTAAAAAATATATTGTTTTACACATCCCATCTCCCATATGGCCTTCTGAAGTGCATAATTTAATCAGCATTGTATGTATGTTGAACTTCTTCCGCACCGTACATAGCCAACCATGCTAATCAGAGGTGCGGGGGATGGACAAAAAACTAAACACAAAAAAGCAGTTTTAAAGAAATGAGTTTTCAATCTAGATTTAAAAGTGCATAGCTCCAGTGGCTTCCTAATATCAGAAGAAAGAGCGTTCCAGACGGCTGCAATAAGCACTTGTTTAACACAAGCAAAACTCTGGCCCAGTTTTGACATTGATTGTCTCATCAGCAAAGTCAGGCTCTCTTAAACCCATGTTGTTGAACTGCCAAACGTAGTAGATATGGGTCCTAATTCAATGCAAAACTCTATAACACAGAATAATCATCAACATCGTTGTGGAGAATACAAATAACAAAAATAAACAGAGGCCCACAGACGTGCAGACTCGCACAGAGACCCGCAGACTCGACTCTCACACAGAAACCCGCAGACTTGCAGATTTCCATATATGTGCACTGACAGTCTACTACCATGTGGTCGGAGGTATTCCTTTTGCCCTGCATCTCCTCCATGCCTCAACAGACACGTTCATACAGAAAACGAAGAAGTCGTATGTGGACTCGCGTGCAAGGAGGAACCTGACTTCCATCAACTCAGAGCTGCAGGACGTGCAGAGGATCATGGTGACGAACATCGAGGAGGTGCTGCAGCGCGGAGAGGCCCTCTCAGGTTGGGACCCGTGGCTCGGACATGCACACACGCATGCACACACGCATGCACACACGCATGCACACACGCATGCACACACGCATGCACACACGCATGCACACACGCACACACATACACATAGACAAAGATACCCCGTATAGCTTTAACAGACGGTTGGGGTAAGTTCTGTTAGCAAGCACCTATGAAGGCTGGTACGGCACACCCACCCATCCACTCACCCACCCACCGCACCCAATCCACCCACCCACCGCACCCAATCCACCCACCCACCCAATCACCCATCCAACCATCAACTCACCCATCCAACCACCAACTCGCCCATCCACCCACCCACTCACTAAATCACCCACTCACTCATGCACTTGAGATGTTAAATACTTCGCTTGGTATGGAGGAGGTTGTGGGTTCAATCCCGACCCTGATCCCTGTATATTTGGATTTTGCATGTTCTCCCCGTGGTCGCGTGGATTTTACTCCGGGTCCTCTAGTTTTTCCATCCAAATTTAGACTCAACATGCATTTAGAGTATTTGGCTGCAATAAATTTCCACTTGATAAGCCACTTCGTTGAGCTATTATTTGTGGCCAGGTTGCTTCTGAAAAAGAGCTATATAGCTTAGTGGAGCCTTAGTTGGTAAAATTAAAATCGTTTAGTTTACTCCACTCACCCACCCACTCAATCACCCACACATCTCACCCCACCCAGCCAGCAGCTTGGGGAGGCCTTCCTCCTGCAGTGCTTGAATAAAGAGCTGTCCATGTTAATTACCCTCGAGTGGAAGCGTGCCCCGTTGTTGCGCTGTCGGCTAATGAGCTCTGGTGAACGTGAACCACGTGCTGTTTTTCCTCTTTGCAGCTCTTGACACAAAGGCAAGCAACTTGTCAAGTTTGTCCAAAAAGTATCGGCAAGACGCCAAATACCTGAACATGCGCTCGACCTACGCCAAGGTGGCGGCCGTGGCCGTCTTCTCCATCATGTTCATCCTCTACGTTCGCTTCTGGTGGCTCTGAGTGTCCCGTGGCCACGTCCTATTCGCTGATCCCCACAGTCACTTCCTCCCACGTGCCTCCTTACCCATCTCTTATCCTGTCTTTCTACATTGCCCTCTTCCACAACACACATCACCACACAACACGTACACAATGCACACAACACCACACACGCACAGCACACGCACAGCACATGCACAGCACGCACATAACATGCACAGCACGCACATAACATGCACATAACACGCACACAGCGCACTGTGGTGCCTCCAGGCGCATTTTGTGACCGGCCGTTGTTCCTCCCCCTTACTGTGTCAGTTTAACCTAAACCCCGTTTCCTGTATGCCTTTGTTTCCCATTAGTACAGCGGAGATGAGAATTGTTTGTTTGGAGCGACTTTGAAATTGAAAGACTTTGTTTGGTTGAAACTGCGGCACTTAAAAACACCCAACAATAGCCAGGACAGATGTGTACAGCGGCGACACGAGGTCTTGAGATACATGGATGGACACGTTGAGAAATGTGCTTTGCAAACATAAATTATACCTAACTCTAGGTGCCAGTCAGTTCCCCCTGCATTTGTTAACGCTGCTGCAGCGGAAGAAGTCGCGTTGTTGATCCGCGTTCGTCTCCCGAGAGCCGATTGGCTGAAATACATTCGTAAACATTTTCTCGTGTGATTTTTTTACATGATTTAAGGATTTCAAAGTAGAATGGAGTGAGGAACGCGCAGTCAAGTGATGGGTCGGCGTCCAGCTCGCCCCCACCCCCGGGGCTAGTGGCAGGTAACAACGCGCCCCCGGGACGCTTGCAGCCGGACAGTTCATGGGGATCCTGGGGGCGGGCGATGTCCACCCCCGGAGAGTTGCTAGTCCGGGACTGTGGTGACCGAAGAGTTGGCCATCGATTCAGGTGGAGCCATCCGAACCGCACCGGCGCTTGCCTCTCCCATTGGGTCGGCGGCATCTTCAGGCACCAGCGGCGGGCTCAGGTAGCCGCGGCGTGGTTCACTTACAAGGTCAAGGCGGAGCCCTGCGATTGCTCGTTCTGCCCACTGCTGGTGCGAGGGGCCTCCACTAGGGGGAGCGCTACAGGATCGTTGAACTTCCACACTGACCAGACATCGTAAAGGGTTGCAAGTACCCACATTTTACCCTACCACACAATCTGCAAATGGTTCACTTGTACTACTGGATTGAGGCAGGTGTGGTTTAAGATACTTTCCCCATTTTTTCAACTGCCGTCTCGAGAGATCAAATAGAACTGGCGACCTCTGGATTGAAAGTCCAGCGCACAAAGCTGGCTTCCCTTTCGTGTCTCAGTTAAAAACATAAAAATGTTACTTATTTACGGCTCTAGACAAATTATTTGTGTGCAGAAAACTGGAAATCGGTTTTGTTATTCTATTTGTGCGATTACCACGAATGCAAAAACTGCATTGGCAATTTAACACCTAGGCTTTCCCGACCAATATCCATAAGAGGTTTTTGGGTTAGATCGCGTAAATATGTAAATGTGTCGTTAAAACCCGCCACCACCCGACACAGGCAACTATAGTAAGGGTTGTCATGTAAACAGAACATGCCAATTCGTCACTAGTACAGGACACCGGTGTGTTGGAGAGCCAAGCCACAACATTAACAAACTGAGTACGACATTTCGCCAGTAATTACAACTAGCTTCATCAGGCGACAGCCAGATATGTGGAGAAGTCTTACTGTTTCATTCCTAAAATAGAGGCGTAGATGTGTTGACCACCCTTCTGCGCTCTTGCACACTGTGGGGAGGGGGGGATTACTGAGGCAACGTACATTTGTGCATGAGCCCTTTGAACTTGTCCTTCCTGTCTATTGTGTTTATCAAAATAGCCCTACCAACGGTAATCCCTATTGAAGTACGCTGCCTTTTGTAGGAATGCATTTAAATAATGTATTATTTGATGATTCGCTTCCACGCAGCACTAAGACGGTAGCTATCCGAATTGTTAAAGTTATTTTGATTTGGGAGGGGCTATGCACGACAGACAAATAATCCCTGGTGGGCAGTGTATGAGCGTCTTGATAAGAGCAGATTTCTGCGTGGGGTGATGGTTTGACTGCATTCAGATAGGTGTCAGTATGTGTTTTCTTTCGGTAAACACTGTTATTTTACCATTTCGGTAAAACCACCTAGATAGAAAAATAATAAAAATATCACGACATTTCGATTGGAACAAGCAATTGTCATCAGTTGAAAAAAACAGTTCGCCGTAAGACGCAAAGGGGATGGTGAGTGGGCTCTCGCCTACCGAAGTGCGCTCTTGGCGCTGGCGAAGGCCGCGTTCCCAAAAATGGACCACAACGGCCTTGACGCCTACGTCCTCGAGAAGATGTTGGGACTCGCTAAAGACCTTTATACTGTGCTCCCCGCCGAGGACGGTGAGGTGTCTTCACTCAAGATCGCCAGGTGTATATAGGCGCAGCAGATAGGTCGCCTGCTAGAACTACGGCCTGCCGGGGCACGCCCAATCGGGCTGCCAGGTTCCTCGATGGCGGCCACCGGGACGTCCGCCCTCCTACTAAGGCGAGTCGCGGCGCACCCCACACTCGGCCTCGGGGTTCACTTCACCCATCGGGGGGGGTCCGATTTGCGTCGGGGTCGCGCGGGTTCGGGGGGGAGTCGGTGCATGTTCGCGACGCGCGACCGCTCTGACCGGATCAGTGGTCGGAGTTGGCACATCGAGTGGTTGCGGCGGCCGCAGGGTCGTCGGCTGTGCTTGGGTTCATTGAGGGAGTTGAAATTCACATGCTATTTCCGAACTCATTTACAATATTTTACCCCCCCGGTGTTGGGTTTTGGAGCCGGTAGATGCTCCGTGTTTCGCCGTCAACGGTGCATCGTTGGGGATAATCGGTCGGATAACTGTTGAGTTGCGCATTGCCGATGTCACATTGTCGGGCCATGTTTTGGTTTCTATGGCCCTGGCTGTTCCGTGCTTACTGGGGACTGATTTCCTCGGCAAAATGCCCCTGAAGATTTGTATCGACCAGGGCTGTTTGGAATTGCCGTCGGGACGGCATATGGCATTTCTCCCGTCTCCGATCCGCATGTGTTCTGCTAACGCCACGGTGCAAGCGCTTGCGTGCCGAACGGTGCGGATTCCGCCTGGCGTGCAAATGTTGGAGCAGTTTTATCGGCTTTGCTATTTACTATCGCCAATTTGTCGTGGGTTTCGCATCTATTGCTAAACCTCTCCACGCATTGACAGCTAAGGGCCAAAAATGTCATTGGGGGGAGGAGGAGGAAGCTGCGTTCCGCTCTATTCGTGATGTGCTGGTTAACGTCCCTCCCTTGCGTTATCCCGACTTTTCGTTGCCATTCGTGTTGGACACGGACGCTAGTAATAAAGGCATTGGTGCGGTGTTATCCCAGGTTGTCAATGGCATGGAGCACGTGGTCGCGTATGGTAGCAGGGTGCTGTCTCCTGCCGAGCAGCGGTACTGCGTAATGCGCCAGGAACTATTGGCCAGTGGTTTTTGTGCAACAATATCGGCCCTACTTGTACGGGAGACATTTCGAGGTGCGTTCCGATCACGCGGCGCTCCAATACGCGCTGCGTGTGGATCAGCCCTCAGGTCAATTGCCACGCTGGCTTGAAATCCTACAAGGTTTTTCGTTCCAAGTTACGTATCGTAAAGGTTCTCGCCATACGAACGCCGACGCCCTGTCACGATTGCCCGTGGGCGAGGAGTGTGCTTGTTTTTCGGGTTCCGGTCGTTGTTGACTGGCCGAGTCGACCTCCCCTCTCGTTGCGTCCGCCACGGACACGATGGGCAGGACGGGCGACGTCCCTGCCGCACGGGATGCGGTTATCGGGTTCGACTACGAGGTGTGGGGATGCCTGCAGGCGGAGGACGCCTCTCTCCTTAAGTTGCGCCAGCGTGCCAGGGACACCGCCGGTGGCACGTCTCTGCGAGGTGTCGCCTCGTTTGTCCTGCGGGGTGGGCTGCTCATGTGTATTGGGACGGGGGATTGCGCCGTTATACTACTGTCGTCCCTACCGCCCTGCGTGGCGAGGTTGTATGGGCTGTGCATAAACGATTGTTGCATCTCGAAGTGCAAAAGACGCTGGCAACTCTTAAATTGGATTTTTATTAGCCGGCCATGTCCTCCGACGTCCAAGATCTGCTTAAGGGCTGCGTGTAATGTGCCCGGCGGAAGCCGCCAGCGAGATCCTGTTACCCTCCACTGCAATACATCCAGGTGTCGCGTATTAACATAGTTCTTGCCCTCGATATTCTCGGGCCGTTTCCTAGTTCCGCTCGTGAAAATAGGTACTTGCTCGTGGGCGTTGAGTATTTCTCACGCTGGCCTATGGCCTGGCCGCTACCGAATCAATCGGCTGTGACTTTTACCGAGGCATTCCTCAATGGCTACGTTCTGGATAAGGGTGCCCCCGAGCGCCTCTTGACGGATGAAGGTAAAAAAAAATCGTCCTAGCTGCTGCGTGAGGTTTGCAATTTGCTGGGGACAAAAAAGGTACGCACGTCACCGTACCACCTGCAAACGCCTACACCGGACTCTGACCTCCATGTTGAGTCACTTGGTCAGTGAGTCACAGGTCGATTGGGACTTGCATATTCCTGCGGTTCTCGCCGCTTATAGGACGACCCCTCACACATCCACCAGCTACTCTCCCTTTTTGATGTATGGGAGGGAGTATGATCCTCCCATCGCTGTGCAGTTACAAGCCGCGCCCGCTGTGAAAGTGTCCAAAATTTCTGATTCGGTTCGTTTCACTCGTGCCAAACTTTCTGAGGCACGGGAAGCTGCCAGTGTTAACTCCCGGGCCAGACAGTTGGCCAATGAGCGGCTCAAAGGAGCCCGTGCTTCCCTGTGCGATTGGTCGCCTGGTTGCATTGTCCGCAGGTGCCGGTGGGCACATCTCCCAAATTGCTGCAACCATGGAGAGGGCCGGTTGATGTGGTTCAGGTCGTGCGGTCGTAATGTGTCCAGATTTGGTTTGGTAAGTGGAGTTGGTTTGTACACCCCTTTCGTCTTAAGCCGTTTATCGTGCCGTGTGAGTTTGTTTCATCTCCATATTGCAGGGGCCGAGTGTCGGGTGTGCCCGACGAGCTGGGGCATGCGTCTGCCGACGTGGGTCTTCAGGAGAGTGTTTCTGTTCCGGCCCCAGGCGCTGCGCGATTAATGCCTCGCACGCGGCCGCTCGTGTCGGCCTCGCGTGCTCTGGACGTGAAGAACCCGACAGATGGGATCAGATCACGAATTTTATGTACTGTGTTGAATCGAACCTGGATCTTGTGTTTGCTCATGATTTTGATCCCTAACATGCAATACCCCGGTATCTACAAACTAAGCTATGTCTGCGGCAGTAGTTACATTTGGGAAAGTAAGCGACATGTCTCGGACCGTGTTCGTGAACATAAGGCAGATCTGAAACACGGTAGGATAAATACCTCAGCCGGGGCCGATCATTATTTTAACGCTGTGGGCACACATGAAATATATTTTTCCAAGACGAAGGTACTCTGCAAACTCACTGTCAATCAACAAAGATTCGTTCATGAAGCCATCCAGATATATAAACACAGACAATTTCAACCGAGAAGATGGGTACAAACTGAGCAGTCATTGGAAGGACATTATTAACCAATTTAAGTCATAACTGGC